TCTGGATGTGGGCTAGCATCACTCTCTCAAAACACTTCATAATGATTGGGGTGAGTGCCACTGGCCTGTAGTCGTTCAGGCAGGTGACTGGTGGTGGTCCTGTAGTCTATGATGTGCTGCCTTGCCACATTCAGGTTGAGTAGCATGAGCTTTTAGCCTAGCATGGAGCCCTCCTCTCTTGCCCCATCTGTGTCTCTGTCTCCGGACCGCTGTCCTGGGGTCAGCCTGCTCACTCATGCATGGCACTTCGGGGGCTCCCTGGGGGTGATGGTGGTTGTTGTTGTTGTTGTTGTTGCTGGAGCGAACAATGAGTTGTGGCTCCAGTGGTATGAAACCAGTAATTTCCCAGTGGCCATGTGAGTTAGCGATATCCAGCAATGCCTGTGTGTTGTATGTTAGCAGTGCATGACATTTGTGCACTGCAGAAAGAGTAAAAAACACACAAAAAAGAAGAAAATGAAGAAAAGCCGGCATTCGGGAGTGGAACGCACAAACACATCTGCCTCGGGGGGTGCCATGATGTCAAAAGGATCATGACAAAACTAAATTTGCCCAAATTCAATAAAGAGCCTCTATTATTAGCCTAACCTCTGCCACACTGTGGCAATACAACTTTGTTTTTGTAGCCACACAAACTAATGTGGTTAGCTGTTGATTTGCTATCCCTTGACCTTGACAGTAACACAGTGCTGTATCACCACAGCATTGTATTTCCACTGCAGTTAGTTAGCTAGTTAGCAGTAAAACAGAAGAACAGATAGACATACAATCAACTGTTTACTGTTCTTTCTTTTCAGCTAACAAAAAAGACACTGGGAAAGCCAAAGCTTGACAAACCTGCTTGACAAACTTTGCCTAGTTACAGTGGCTAAAATGTGTTTGAGCAACTGCTGTCAGAGATGGGATTTAGAAAACAGTATATTGCAACAGAAAACCAATAACAGAGAAAAAGCAGAAACCATAACAGTGATGAAACTTGCAGTGAAGTGAACAATCCTGGTAGATCTGATTAGAGATGAACAAACTGACACATAGTGAAAGACAGTGCAAGAAGCAGTAGCAAAAACTATATTATGGTTATTGCAACATCGGCTTGTATGAAAGAGGACTAGTTCCTTGAACTAGCAAAACAAAACAAGACTTAAACAATGAGAAAACCTTTAAATAACTAAAGTAACTCACATTAAATCAACACTTTAGATCACATTATAATGATTTGACTGCATGTAACAAATTATCCCACAAGATGGCAACAAAAAATTGTGGAAGTACAGCCTGCAATCGTTTGTTCATGTCAATAAAAACAAAAAAGACAATAAAGAATCATAATTAAGAGACTATGTAATTTGATGCCCACTGCAATGCAATAAGATACAGTATCTTAAAGGCAAAGTCTGTAACCCATATGAAAATTAAAGGGCCATTCTACCACACAATGATTGAAAGTTTTATTCTTTGACACACAGACATAAATATTCACTTCTTAATACATTTTATATTATACATATGTTATGATCATGTTTGTAGGTATAAAACAAGCAGGTTATATATTATGCACAATCTGCTTATTGTTCATCTATAACTCGAACTATTCACTGACATGAATGTGAAACTAACATTAGGCCCTTAGTAAAATGCAATAGTTCTATTCTCTGGACATGTTTTTACTTATAAACTACATGTCAACCACTATTACCTGCACATCAGATGTTATATCTCTGTCCACATCTGTTTAGTCTCTGTCTTCATATGTCCAAGCACCAATTAACCAGCCAATGGTCCCGCATGGATCCAATGTAATTGCAAATACAGCAATTGCAAATCTGGCTAATTTATGTCTTCTTCTGCTTTTTAAATATCAGCCTGGCCAATATGTGGAGTGACTTTGTCTATGGAACACAAAATAAATAAATTGGATTTCATCAGCAAGATCAATAACATATAACAGACTGTATTTATGATTAAAATTAAAAAATCAAATTCTTTAAAATTATGTCAGCAATGCCAACAGTATGTTGTTATTTAAGTAATTAAATATTGTAAGAACTTTTTCACCCTTTTCCTGTGATCCATAATTTTTAACTCAGTTACATATAATGTGTTTCTCCAGAGCCTACATGGTTGAGTAGTGCAGTCCTGATGGCTCCGCAGGGGGTCCAGAGACAGGCCTATAGGGACAGCTCAGTGGGCCACTGGAACAACACTCATATCTGTCTCTGGGGGTAGATTAAGCTTAATTAACTAAACCATCCAGCACGCTTGGATGAATGGATACAAGTCAAGGACAGAGCAGTCACGGGTGTGCTCACACATTCTCTGGCAGGCACTGGGAGAGGGTTTTGTGCTGCATATTATCTATGTGTGTGTGTGTAATAGAGGCAAATAATTGGATGCTCTAGCTATAATAAAGTTGTGTGTACAAGTCAACAATGACCTTTATTTACTCTTGTGTTTTTATGCAGTCAATAAACACAAAACACCAGCGGCCTATGAACAGAGAAGAGTCAAATTTACACGTGAGATGCAGCGTCCTGTATATGGTCACTGATGAAACGACTATTTACGTGCATCCTCAAACTGCTTTTTGGCTTATCGACATTTTCTCATACTGAGGAGAGAAGTGGTCCAACTATTAGAGCCCATCTAACCTTGTGGTTTTAGAGCATCGGTTGCTGTGAACATGACTTTTCATTTCAGATCTTTGTTTTAAATGTGAAATGAAACAGAAAGGTGGAACTGTAAAATTAATAACCACAAAGACCACAGAGAAAAGACCGAACTAGAAAATAAACAACCTACAGTAAAGACAAACTAAGGCATCTTATTTCTTATCTTCAAGTCAGTACCATTTTTCCCCCAGATCATTTTCTTAGCAAATGATGTTGTTGTTGCTGTTTCTAGCCACAAGCCAAACAGCTGTTGTTGTTTTCTTACATAGTCTCTGCTACTAGCCCTCCCTGGCCCTAACATTCGCTCCCTGCTCTGCTTTTCTCCGGGGCAACTCTCCCTCCTTTTTCACATTGATATCTCCCTTTTAATTCCAGTTATCTATAACGATAATTACTCCAACCATATGTGAATTTAATCGATGCCTTGAAAATGTGTGTGTACTCTGTGTATACTGCTAATAAAGTCACAGTGCTTGTTAATGTGGACTGTCAGGGAAATGCATGCAAATCGATTAAGTGTGTCAGCTTTATCATTACAAACAACTGTTTTAGTGAACAAATATAAATGACTTAATCTGCATATGACACACACTGGCATGTATGACATTTCACTAATGCACCTCATCCTGATCAAATTTGTCACGGGAATAAAATGTTTTTAAAAAGGATTAGACCCATAGTTTAGCACATGCTTCCCATACATATTATTACATGCTTACATCTCTTTGCTTTGCCCGATCACAAATTCAGGCAGGCGATTTTAGAATCCATTTTTAAAAATGAACATTTGATAGACTTAAATGATAACCCAGCTCTCATGTTGCATCTCACTCTGTATTTTACTACTGCAATGCTGCATTTCTCCACTGGAGGGGACATGGGTATAGGCATAAGCTGCTTGTT